TCTCTCTCTCTCTCTCTCTCTCTCTCTCTCTCTCTCTCTCTCTCTCTCTCTCTCTCTCTCTCTCTCTCTCTATTTTTATGTTTATTTTGTCATCCTCTCTGTTGTCTATGCCCTCTCTTTGTGTACTACCAGTAAACGCATATGAATGAGCGTCATTTAGAGAACAGACAAAATATAATTACCCTTTTACTCTGCCTCTTTTTATAACGTGCAAGTGGGCTGTAAAGGCACACGGGATGTGGGCAGCTGCCACTCAACCATCATCAACGTGGCCAGCCTTGTACGTGGTAGGCACAGTAAGAAGGTAACTACAAAAACAAAGACAATGGGAGGCCTCCCAATGCTAGCTGATGAAAATATAATCAAGAAAACGATAGAACGATCTTATTGTGTCTCGCATTGTTTTACTGCTGGGTTGGCCCATCTCAAGTGTGTTGCATTGCTTGTGTAAAGGTGAAATTCCTTGCTTGTTTAAAGGTAAGGTTCTGAATAGATATCGACTTCACAAGCAAAACTGTTTCATTGGTGGATTGGCTCATCTTGAGCATTGGTTACAGGAAAAGTTGCTACGACTTTGGATCTACTCATCTGCGTGGAATAGGGGAAGTTGTGGTGATATTTTACAACACACACACACACACACACACCTGTCTCTTATACACATCTAGATGTGTATAAGAGACCCCCACAGTACCCCCATAATCCCTATATACACCCCTCCCCCAACCCCCCCATCCCCAAAAAATTCTCAGCAGATTTGGGCTGTACTCATCAAACGCAGTACAGCTTCTGACTCAGATCTGAAAAAAATGAGTGGATGGTTGTTTTCTGACTGGTCGGCAGACCGTCGACCGGTCGGCCCTACTGGTCGGCTGCAATACGGTCGTTGGTCGGGTCGGCGGTCGGCAGGGATGCAACAATGCTGAGCAGGAGAATAACGAACCGCATGAGCCGCTTATAGAGACTGTGCTGAAGGGCTAACACCGCCAGGACGAACTGTTGCAGAACAAATTCTGCAGCAGCTAGACACCCATGTTTTGGATGACCCCCTCTTGCCACAGTCGTCGTCGTCGGTCCATAGAAAAGGAATCAATGCAGAGGAAACCCAAAACACTTGCTCAATGCCATTCTGTGATGATCCACCTGAGATTCAGCTAGCATGTGGGCTGCATGCATTGTGTCATGAGGATTATGAAGGCACAGCCCGTGCATCTTTCTGTTTTCATACGTTTGATGACAGTCAATATTGCACTCACGTCTGGCACCCTGACATGTCATGTCCAATTTGTAGACGGGCTTGAACAGCAATGCCTCTACAATTGAGGCCGGCGTGCCTCTGTGTTCCTTGCGTGTGGGAGCCATGTTGCCTTCGATAACTGTCTATGTTGTGCCATTCGGTGCAGCAACTGCAACTGTGAGAATTAGATGCGATGCTTCCACCACCCGAATCGGTGCTGTCCAGTCTGCAGGAGTGGTCACCTACCATAGGCAACAGCTACTCCTCATCCTGCAACCCGAACACTGATTGACAGCTCGTGTCATTCTACAGTCATCTGCTTCAATGGTCTGTATAGAGAATCCTCTCTCTCTCTCTCTCTCTCTCTCTCTCTCTCTCTCTCTCTCTCTCTCTCTCTCTCTCTCTCTCTCT